AGTCTGACTTAATCAAATATTATCGTGTCTTCATTATCTGACTCCATTTTAACAGCTTTTTGCTTTCTGTTCTGTCAGTAAATGTGTTGCTTTCTGTTTAACTTTGGGGTTGGTGCTGTAATAATCTGAGCAGGAGACTCGAGTCCTTTTCAATGTTCTCATTAAATTAGTCGACACAAAGAGAAGCTTTGACTCATCATTTCAAACTGGACGTTTAATGAACTGTTTCCTTTCAACAATATTTCTTGTGGATCTTCAGAAAATATGATAAATTCTGACAGGTCCAAAATGTAAACACAGCAGCTTCTAAATCATGGCGGTGTAGAAAGTTCTGATGTGGTTCAACTTGACTCTTAACTTCCTGTCAGTGGTTATGATTTACTACAGCTGCTGACTTTTCTGTGTCTGTATAAATAAAGTTTGTTTGACTGCATGCATTAGAATGAGCCACAAATATCACAATGGAAAACAGCTGCAGCTGTTATCAGCCACTGGGAGATTCACAGGAAACGCCCATTCAAGCCCCTTTCATTCAGCTGCAGGGTTTCACCATGAGACGGCGCTTCCTTCACAAAAACACACGAACCTATAGGTGCATTCGAGAGGACTGTGGCGGAGTTTTGCCGACTTGATGGTCTAACGTGAGCTGCAGGCGACTGCAGCTGCGGGGTATAAAAACGACTGGCGTGAGCTGAGAACAATGGCCGGTCTCGCGACATCTGCCTTTTTTGTTGCTGATGAAATTGATGATGAATAAAATGGGATATTAAACACATCTCAAAGCAGTAAGTAGACTCAGCCTACTGTAAAAACCTGTAGGCAACAATAGCTTAAGGCTTTTAATCAGTCTCTGTAGGATGATGTCGCTTTAGCCTCTAGAGTTTCTCCACATCACCACAGCAAACATAAAGCAGCTATTGGCTAAAACTGTCTGTGGGATTTCCTACAGATGGGGATGTCATTTTCCAGAGAGCTGATTGGTCAGTTTTAATAGAGTTGATCTCTTATCCTGAACAGCTAACCTGTTCAGGATAAGTTTACCATGGAGATCTACCCCAGTAAGAAGTGAACCACCTTCGTGGTGCTGAAAACCCAGCGTTAACCCCGAAGTTACCTGGATAAGCTCAAATCCTGCTTCGTGGTACAGGACTCCAGACTCCGGAGAGGGTTGGGAAACACCGTTTTAGGAGTGTGGCAGGTGGATTTACTATAAGCAATTCTACCTAAATGACACATTAACATGAGTTTTGTTCACTAGTTAATGCACACGAGGCCTGTGGGGCTTAAGCCATACTTAAGTCAGGGTCAGGATTTGCACGGGCTGGTTCCCCCATAACTGTTTGCATTGGGTGCCACATACCTATTCGAAAGCCACACTTAGAAAACCCTATTGCTTATCTCAACTACGAGGAACATTCATTCAGTGAAGTTGACTGGCTTTTGTGACAGTCAGAGAAGGCTCTGTGTGGCAGCTGGCATGATGCCAGAGCTTTCCGCCCCCTGCGACCCTGTACGCAGGATAAGCGGTTGATGATGGATGGACGGATGGTCTAACATATTTACATTTTAATGGTACTGCTTCTCAGTCATGCTGCTGTGCCTCCACATGAAAGCTCATGGAAAGTGTGAGACTAGCAACCAGGCCAAGTCATGCAGGGGATCTCAGGGTAACAGTGATCTCCCGAGGTGTAGTCATATTGGCTTAGACTGACTAACCAAAATGCAAAATACTTAGAGAATGACAAAATGATAACGCAGATATAAGATGTTTTATTTGGGCTGAACATTTTAAAGTAGTTCTATTCTTCTTTCTTGTCCTTTAGTAATTGGCTCATGGCTGTTTGGGTGGTGAAGATCTTATTTTCAAAGTTTCTTCTCCTTCAGTCTCCTCCACCTCTCCAGATCTGGGCGTGTTCTCCTCTCAGCGTGGGCCTCATAGGTCTCATAAAAGGAGGTGGCCTGACTGGCTGGTATTCTGCTGGCGACCCGGTCTGCAGAAGGTCTGGTAACTGGAGGCAGACCGCTGCTGGTATGAGCAGGTTGGGGTCTGTGGGTCAGGGGCTGGGCATTGATGGGAATGAAAACAGGAGGCAGAGTAGATCTTGGTAGAGTTATAGCATTTTGTTTTTATTGTCTAATAAACTGAATAAAAGGGGAACTTGGTTGGTTCTTGCAGAAGTTCTAATTTACTGTGGAACCTTGGCTACAAAGTCTTTATCTGGGAAACCATCCAAAGAAGTTACGTCACTAATCTTTGACCAAACAAATACTCTAAATATCTTTTCTAAAGCTTATTTAACATTGTCTACGCACCACTCCTTAGCTTTTGGGCAGTATCTTTGGACACAGTGTCACTGTGCCTTTCTCAACTGTGACTGATTTGCATTTATTGACCCAAAATATCTCTCTGTAGCGTTGTTTGTCACAACGTGGCGACCTCCATAGAAGGGGTGCCCACTGTTATGTAGATCTAAATGTCTCATTCTAAGGTAATTCAATGTATAAGATCTCAGAAACATTAGACACTGAACCTTTAAGTGAACAAACAGCTTCACTGTGTGTCAGGATTTCCGTGTGTGTGTATGTGTATATGTGAACAGGTGGACGACTCAAATGCGGGACTCTGGAGCAGAGCAGGTTCAGTTCAGTGATTTATTAAAGAAAAGTGAGCCCACTTCCAAGCAGTGGCTAAGTCCAAATCAAATCCAAGGAAACAAGTTGAAATAATAACCCAGGCAGTGCTTGAACACAAAACAGTTGGACCACATCAAGGTGAAAAAAGAAACATGAAGCAAAACTAGACACAGACAGCAAACGCAAACTACTTCAGATTAAAACAGGAAGCAAGACAACAGACACATGGAGTGAACAGACAGAGCACACATAGACAAACATACCAAGACTAAGAACAAACAACATCAGGGGTGGATGGAAGAACTAGAACACATGTGAAACCTAAACGGGAAACAGACTAGTTTCTAGATCTAACAACTGAGACACAGAACTATGGCACAGAACCAGGACTACACACTAAGGGGACTTTCACACCTGAAGGTCCGCACCAAGGTCCGAACCTAAGTTCATGTTTTGATACATACGGTTGTTTTGGGACTTTACATGACACACTTGCGTCCCGTCGTTGTCATCTATGTGGGCTGCGTCTCCCTATACTTGACATTGATTGGTTTATTAAATAGTTCAGCCGGTATCTTCGACAAGAATGAATGAATAAAAAATTAACATAGGCCTATTTGCCACCACTATGTTGTTGTTATTTTTATGGCCTTACTACCTGCCGCACCAACTATACTGAAGGCTAGTCGCAATTAAACATCCTTGTGCGAACGCTGAACTTCCTGTAAATGATCTGAAAGTCCGAACCATCCAAAAAATGCTTTCACACCAGAAACGAACCGAACCATTCAGTTCGATCCAGACGGAAACTACCTCTTGTCGTCTGTTTGGCCCGGACTGTTGTCCAGGGGAGGTTTCACACCCGTATTTTTGGTTCAGACCAAACTGAAAAGTCCAAAAATCCTGACCAAATGAGGTAGGTGCGAAAGCCCTCTAAGACACAGAACTAAGACGAAGAACCAGTGCGCCAATTATGCCATGACAACTTTTTTCCCAGGTCATAAGGAAACCCAGTACAGTGCAAATGCGTGCTTCAGTGAACTAAAATCTTACAATGCTTACACTATCCTTGTTTGTTTAACTAATGTCTGTAGTCTTTCGATGATGATAAATCAAATTCATTACACAACAACTTGTATAGTCAGAGTTTACCAAGTGTGAATACTCAAACACAGACCCAAAAAATGCTTAACCAGAACCAAGGACACTCATAAACTGTCTGCATTATCATCTATAATTCCTAATTGTTATCATATCAAGTTGTAACTTGCTCTTTTTTTTTAGCAATTACTCCATTTCTCTTGACTGTGAATCTGCGTTCATTAAAGCAGTAGTCATACATTGTTGAGGAATTGGGAATTGTTGGGTCCAGATCTGCTCTATATGAAAAGTGAGATTACTTTTGTTATGAATAAAACTGACTGAAATGAAAATGAATACATTTGAAATAACACACCTGGATTTTAACATTTACCTAGCCTTGAATTCCAGAGTGAAAACAAATATCACGTTATTGTAAAAAGACTTAAAATGAAATAACAAACTCTATATTGATTAACCGGTGTGATGCACTGGATTTTAATGAGCCACTGCAAGTCATGCAGGCAGACAAGACGTTCAACTTACATCAAGGTAAGCTATGGTCCACTTTAGAATCGTATTTCAATATACTTGAAAATAAGGCATGAATATGGGAAATATCTGAACCATGCACAGAACTAAGAAACAGGACTAAGAACTAAGATAAGAAAACAGGGAATGAGACAATTTTTGAAGTTATTTGATCAAAGCAATTCTGACACAAGTTGATAAACATTTTTAGTCAAGGCTATGAGACAGAATTGGTAATAAGTGAACTAAGCTGGACATGCAAAAACCATGACACTTAATGTGTTTGGACTCTCTAAGCTGCCGAGATAAGCAGCAGATGTTTGTGAACAAACTGTCTGTTTCATCTGATTTCTCCATTTAAACAGTAATTGTAATATAGCTACTCCTTTGTGGCCCGGGGAGAAAGTCCCAGACTCCCTTCAACAATCCTGCAGTTTAGTGACTTGTTGAGTTAGAGGACACTTTAGAAACTTTGTGAAACGCTGTCTACGACAAACTCTTGTAAATTCAACATTAAATGTGACACATGAAGTTATTTCTGTCTCTGTGTAAAAACACGATGTACAAAAAGCTTCAGCAGGATATTTTCATGAGCCTCTGATGTGATAATAACAAGCGCTTCATTAAAACTCTGCTCTGTGTGAAGGACACTCCCTCATACACATCAAATATGATCAGCTGGTTTCAGGAAACCAACTAACTAAACTTCATCTTCTGCCTGAAATCAAGGAGCCATGTTTCTAAACGGCCTTAGCGACAGTAACTAAGGGGCGGGGCGCCGTCACAGCGAGAACGCGGAGGCTCCGCGGGATCCGGAAGTGCTCCGAGACCAGAATCCAGACTCAGTCCAGGACAACACGGTCCACCAGTCACAGCGGAGACCTGCAGGACGATGGAGAACCAGAACCTGGACCACAGGAGCCAAACAGCAGCCTCGTGCTCTGATAGCACCGATGTTCAGGTCAGTGTTCATGACTTCATCACGAGACTAAAGACACGAGGAAGAGTCTCGAGGGTCCGTGTATCATCCGTTCATTCTGTTGTTAGAGATCAGAGCCTGAAAACCCGCTCCAGGGTTTGTGTTGACGTGGTTTGATTTCCAAAGTGTCTCCGTGATTCCTGTTTTCATCTTGAAGAGAGGAAGCTGAAAGAAAAACTCACGAGCGTTTCTCTTTTCTTTGTGCTGTGAGTCTGCCGCGCGGCGCATGCGCGGTGCAGCCCGTGTTGTGTCGGGAGCGCGCAGCAGAAACAATGCTGGTGAAAAGTGAAGCAGAGTCATTATATTTCCTCGTGTGTTGGTGAGTTTATCACAGTGACAAACTGCCTGCGTTCTCTGAATGATCTGAGACACAATTTGCCTTTGCTGCACAGTCTCACCTGACGCCACAGTGCTCTCACTACAATCCTCCCTCTTTCATGAGCCAGACTGGAAACTAGAAAAATCTAGTGCTGGTTTGAATGGACCTCTGCACACTAACTCATATATAATAAGTGCTCATAAAGTCTGTTAGACTGGGTGCCAGTCTGCTGAGTCATGGTGGAGCAGCAGCTGTTCCTTTCTGTATTTCACCTGGCTCTGTGTGACCTGCTAAAGATGTCTCATTTATATAAATGCTGAGTACACAGAAAGGTTTCGTACACTGGTTTTCATGCACATGTGTGATTTATAAAAATTAGACATGTCTGTCAGTAAAATTCATGTTTAATATCAAAATAAAATTTGAATATGAGAGGAAAAGGTGTAATGATGCCTCTCAGAGGACAGAGTCGGACTGTGTGCTGTTTAACTGCCAGCATAACGCCAGGATAATGTCGGGTGGCAGGATGCAGGCTCGCCTTTCCTGATATAAGATGTGAAATTAGTTCCTTTTCAGACTTTAACTTGGATACTGATGCATTTATCATCCTAAAAATCCAAATAACATCAAGTAGCATTAAAAAATTTGTAGTTTATATTAACATCCTCTGTGCATATATCACCATTTAGTTTTGGATTGTAAAACAGATGCTTTCTCACCCGGCACATCTTCACCACATATGGACTGTGTAAATGTCTGGAAATACAGACAGTGACAGCTAACGATGAGGATCGATGCCCGGTTCTAAAAGCACCCGGCTGCGCTCGTTACTGTACGTGCAATAAAACCTTTGCGTAAAAAGGCAATATTTTTATCAATACAGCTGCTCAACAAGCATCTAAATGTAGAAAACATTAATTTAATCTGCTCTCTGACTCAATCAGAGCTGCTGCCATGTTTTCATCAGACCATGTTTCAGTTAAAGACGTAACGTCAGGTTTATGATCTGTAATATAAAGTAAAAGGATTTGTTTGCCAGGGATCTTTCATTCAACGAAGCCAAATGTTTAGTGTCGGGCTCAGAGATTATTGTCTGCCGATCAGGAATAACAATTAGGTTTGATAATTGTGCAGCCTGTCACGTGGAAAGTGCTGATCTCACATGGAGTAGTGCTTTGTGAGCGACGACTGAAGGGTTGAAGTCCAGAGTTACCGTAGTTTTATAAACAGAGTGACGCACTGAATGAAAGAAGTTGGCATTTATCAAAACTTAATTTAAGTCGTTCAGTTCAGGTGTGTTTTATTATTATATATTACAGGTAGGGCTGGGCAATAAAACAATATAATTTTCCTCAATAACAATATAATAAATGTTCAATATATTGTCAAAAAATATTTGGTTTAATTCATTTGAATCATGGACAAATTAGCACTTAATTCTACAAAAAAATATTTGTTTTGTGGAGAAAGAGGCCTGAAAAAAAGATTAAATAATCATATTTGTTGAAAACAGATTTTATCATAATAGTTTTGAATGTTCCACCTCAGATTTGTCAAGTGATTCACTGTTTGGCGTCAAGTGTTTTTCACTTTCCGACCATAAAGAAAAGTTTAACCAAATAATTAACCATCTGGTTTCTTCAAGTTTCACTCAGGAACAAAAATCAGCTATTAAACTTGTAGGAAATAATGATTTAGAAATGTATCACCCAGCCCTTATTACAGAACAATCGCAGCTGCTTTCTTGTGTCTGATCTCGGTCCGAGTGCTGCAGGAGGTGTTCATTTTTATTTATTTTGCAACCAGACAGATGTAAAACTTTGGCGGGCTGGATGTGGCCAGTTCTTGATCACCGCTGTAGGGGATGCAGAGATTATTTTGTACATCATCTTACAACAAGGACTGACTGGAACACTTAAACCTTGTACTTGTTGTACTTTTGAGAAGTGAGGGCCACCAGTTTAATGATGGTCAAATTCCCGACTGTTATTGGTACCGTACACATTTTGATTACCGCGATAACCGGGTTTGATAATCTGACGGTAAATACTGTCCAGTAGCGACAGTCTCCCAGAAGCAGCTGTGCGTGCGCAGTGTGTGTTGGGGTCAATGACAACAACAAGACGCGCTGCTTAGATCTTTTACTGGTCGTTTATTGGTTTTTATAAGAGGGCTGAGGGAAGCTTGATCGAAGAAAATAACCTTATAGCAAATGCAGGGTGAGTTAATTTTTAGCTTTGCGTTGTCTAACTAGCTAACATCTTGCAAACTGAAGCTCTCTGTGTTAGCTGCTCTTGTAAAAACTCCACATGTTGTTCTGCTGCTGTGTGCGCCCTCTGCACACGACAACACTAGGGCTGGCCCGAATGTCATTTTTTTTCAGCTTCGATGCTTCTGACTGTGTGTGAGAGAGAGAGAGGGAGAGAAAAAGAGAGAGAGCGCTTAGTTGCTTTAGTTATATGCAGGCTATATAAAACAGCACGTTATTATTAACAAAAGGTTGTGTTTAACTTTTCTCGCAGCTAACCTAGTAAAGTGCAGGACTAAGAGGGAGGAGACTGGAGTTGGACAGAAGAGGAATATTTATTTCGGTGTTGAAGTGATTGGAAATTGAGCCGGGAATTTCAAAGGGAACGCCCCCGTTAAGTAGAATTTCCGAGTTAGGAAGTCGGGAGAACTGTACTGCTCCGACTTGGTGATCCAAGATGGCTGTCGGGGTATCAACAGTTAGTGAAAGCTGTAGTTTATACTGTTTATTAGTACTTCTGTGTTCTTGTGACTCATATGCATCTCAGATATTTGTACACAAAGTGCTCTCCAACTGCTGACTAGTTGTAAACAGCTGGCCGAGCGAGGTTTTCTGACTCGTTAACTGGAACGCCGTCAACTCGCAGGTCCAGGACAGATTAAGTGATTATATTAACCGGGCGTGGGTCCAGGGAGACCAGACTGGATGAGCAGCGTTTCCGGTAGTGGAAAGTAACAACACGTTATGTAAAATTCGCCTACTAACTGTTCTTAAACCCCATAACTGCCATTGTTATCAGTCAGTTTAAAGTGCTCCCACAGAGCTGAGGGCTTCATTTTGTTTTCCTTTTGATGTGAACTGAAGCGTTAATTGCTGCGCGCAGGAAAAAAACCCTCAACATTCGAATCTCAAAATTAACAATCAATGTGTACCCAACGATCGGATACTGGGGTCTAGCTCTAGATAACACCTTACGCAGTTGGCAGCTGTCAACAGGAGAAACACTACAGACTCAGCTGTTGGGCACATTGCTGTTACTGTCACTGTCTTCTGAAGACTCACTTGTATTTGCGTAATTGTGTTTGGGACATTGTATTTATTTAAATAATATAATAAAGTTTTCTTTTTACATGCCAGGTCTTCAGCAGGGTCCACCAACCGCTGACAGGACTTTATGGAAACGTATAATAATTAACTCAGCATCAAACTATATCGGTATAAACGGTATCTAATTTTAAATTCTATTGAAATTATGTCAGGATACCTCATAATACCTAATTACCGCCCAGCACTCTCCCTTTATGCTGATGATACAAGGGGCAACTTTTTGAGCAATGTTGCTGGGCAATCTTGCTAGTGGCAAGTCCGACTATGTTTTGAATGGATAAGGGCGGGGCGGGTGGTGAAGTGGTGGAGGAAGGTGATTACGGTAGTAATCTCTAAAAGTTGCTCCGCGTATCATCAGCTTGAGGCTGGGGTGAGGGTTGGTAAACCTCCCTAAAGTCTTGACGCCTCTCCTCATATTCTGTGCTTTGACTGGGGAAATTATCTGAAATTCCAGTGTTAACATGTATGTTAAAGTTGGTTACATTTACCAGGTTTAGTAACCAAACCACCACATAAACTGCTGACAAAAAGGAGCATAAACGTGCATGCAAACTCCTCATTGTCAGCAAAATTTGCCGTTTTGAAACCAAAATGGGTCACCTACACGATTTGTGCAGACCTAAGGAGAAAATATTTTTTTATCCTTTAGGCCTACCAGTTGTCTACCGAGTCCACTCTAGCATGAGCTTTGCAACTTTACAGCCGGCTCTGCCTAAACAATTGTCACTCCTAATGCCTCAACCTTACAGCCAATCAGAGAGACAGAGGAGGAGGGCAAGTCTGCGAGTTACACACCTGCTGCCATCCGACAACTACGTGCAAGTTGTGGTTCTTCGCGGGTCTATTTCAGTTAGCCGGCTATTTAAAAATGTTAAAATATTCATCGCGTGATTCATCAACGGTGATAAATTATCCGGAAGTCCCACGAGGTGCGGATATCTCGGCACAACACCAGTGAAGCTGGGGCTCAGTCTCCTTAGCAAGTGTTCCTCCACTGCCACTGCACACTTGCACGCTACGCCTACACATGCGCACTGACGACCCAGGGTTAGGGTTACAATTTTGGATTTAGTCACACACTTCAAAAACATTTATTGAAAGTTTTATGCCTTTTTACATTTATTTTCAGCATTAAATGTTGAAATATATATTGTAATAGGCTGTATATTAACTTAACCGGTTGTTCGATGTAAAATCAGTCGTTGAGCACCCCCATATCACCAAAATGGCATGATCCTTGTTTTGCTGCGAAGACCTGCGCGGGACAGTTTTCTTGATCACGTTTCCGCTGATTTTGACCATTACTGCCCGCTCCCGCAACATGTGTTTTCACTCCTGCAGTATATTTTTTAACCGCCCGCCCCCGCGGTTGTCTTTGGTCCCGCGGGATCCCAATGCTGCTCTCTACTGCGAAGCTTCAACTGTGAGATTGACAGTCGAATCAGGCTCCGCCCATCGAAGTTTATTAGGCTAAATGTTTCAGGGGAAACTGAAATGATGCAACTCACATCAAAGACGACTTCAGCTCAGTTTCAGGCTTTCTATTCATTTCATATTCTGATATCCTTTAACACTACGCAATGCATTTTATTTGTCACATCACCTATTGTTTACTGCTCTTCATCATATTCATCCAAAGTTTTTATTTTTCATTCATATATATCGATCCGAACTCCATTCAGAAAACAAACCTTTTAGAAGTTGTTGTCCTGCTGTCTTGCTGACAGACAAAGCATGAATTGTATTCAATAAGGCTCCATCTTTTTTTTTAGCTCATATCAGCCAGCTGGGCTCTAGTTATCATAAATGTGCTTAAAAAGATCAAAATGTACTGATACAAACACTGAAAATATTTAACCATTTAAGTCTTATATTGAAACCACAAATAAAACTTAAATTTTTTGCATTCAGCCCATGGTGCTCAACACAAGATTACAATAATCAACTGTAGCAGCAGAGGTCAGTAATAATGTAATTATGCTTTGCAATGTTCGCTACATTTATATGAAATAACATTAAATAGCAAAACTTTATTACTACCTACTACTTTAGATTGTTACAAATACTTCGTATATCGTATTTGTTTTACAATTGCATCGTAGTCGTTGACCAAATAATCGAATCGTGAGACCAGTGAAGATGCATTACCCCTAATAAATACAGAGTGCTGGTTGTTGTTCGTGTGCAGGTGTTTCTTAAACAGGTAACAGCTACAGAGAGAAAACCTGTTGCTCTGCAGTAATAACTGTGAGACTTAGTATCAGCACAGAACATGTGTGTAGACACAAACTCCATCAAAGGTCTCTTCAGCTGTTACAACTGAGTAAAAGTTGTGATCAGCTGCCGCTGTCATCTGAAATGGAGGTCGCATCATGTGACGCTTTGGAGGAAAGGACCTCTTATTTCTCAACAATATATTTATTTGTTCCTTCTTGACTGGCTTTGGTTCCTTGCGTCTCTCCATTAATCCCCGGTGGGCGGGACTAAGACACAAGGAAAACACGCAAGTGAGGGAAGCAATTAAGAGACTTGAGAAGCAGCCACTTTTTCACTGGAAGTCCAAAAAAAGGATTCACGGGTGTCTAGCTGCAGGTCACCAATGTGGAGTTGCTTCGGGTGCAGGCTCGGTTCTCTTGTTTGAAGCAGACTGCTTCAGTGAGCTACTTCCTGTTATGATGGCTTTTTTCATTCACCATGCACAAACAAACAGGGTTAGCCTGAGAGGTTTATAAACCGGCTTCCTGGAATAGACACAAGGTTAAGTTTGAGATTTTCCCATTTATTGTTTCTATTTGATAAATTGGGATAAAGTTTTTAGAGACTTCTCCAGTGTTGAGCGAGTGCGCTACAGTCGGCAGCAGGGAAACAGGGCTTCAACTTAATCCTTGAGGGCAATTGCTCCCCGCCCAAGTACGTCCCCTTAAGTGCTTATTTTTGCCACTGATTGGCTCAAATTGTTAGTAGGATCCCCTGGTATACCCTAACCCTTTCTGTGTTACCAGAAACGGTCATTAATCAGATTCCTATAGACGTCTGCGCCACCCCAAGTCCCTCTGTGGACACATCCCTGCTGTTGGTTGTCACAGACGGTAATGCATTCGTCATACTTTAACATTGTGGGGTTTTGTTCCACATATATGCTCTAAATGTAATTTATGGTTCCAGATAGCTCGCTCCACCATGACACCTGTTTTTCTGTCTGTATGTCTGTCTTTTGCTATAGAAACAGAGAGGAAGTGAGAAATCCATACATCACCGCTGTCAGCAGTGTGGCGAGTCCTTCACAAGATCTGGACATTTAAAGATTCATCAGAGACGTCACACTGGAGAGAAACCGTACAGCTGTGACCTGTGTGAGAAAACGTTCACTACATTAGGTGTCCTAAAACGGCACGTACGTGTTCACACTGGAGAGAAACCGTACAGCTGTGACCTGTGTGGGAAAGCGTTCACTACATTAGATGTACTAAAACGGCATGTACGTTTTCACACTGGAGAGAAACCGTACAGCTGTGAGCACTGTGGGAAAGCCTTCAATCAAAAAGGTCACCTAATAACCCATACACGCGTGCACAATGGAGAAAAACCGTACTGGTGTGAACAATGTGGGAAAATGTTTTCCCAGGGTAGTAACCTTAAAAGCCACCAACTTGTTCACACTGGAGAGAAACCGTACAGCTGTGACCAGTGTGGGAAAGCTTTCACTAGACTATGTTACCTAGAAGTCCACAGACATTGTCACACTGGGAGGAAACCATATAGCTGTGTCCAATGTGGGAAAACGTCTACTAGCAATCAGTTTCTCAAAAGACATGAATGCATTCACACTGCATCAGTCTAAAACTGGTAGAGAGCAAAGTTAGCCGATTCCTCTCCACATTATCACGTGACTGTGATGGATTAGCGTCATGTGATGACGCTTTGAGAGTAACTACACTCCCAAATTCTGACTAAATGACAAAGCATTTAATATTTCTGTAACAACCAGTGTCCTAAAAACTGAAATATAATTGAACTATCATGGACAGTATGTCTACAGGACAGAGCTGCACACCAGTTTAGCTTGTATGTTCTCAACTATGCACAAGTACTTTTTACTAATTTAGCTAAAGTTACATAGCAGCCAATACAGGGGAGATCCACCTCGTCTTTCTCAGCAGTTGGGGAAACTCAAATTGCAATTTGTTTGTTATTTCAGTCGTTTGACAAGACTAAAATTTTTCAACACGCCAAAGCGCCCAGTGGGAGTGACTGTTACCCGCCATGTCCGAAATCCCCCGCAATTTAATTTTGTCCCAGGTGTCGTCCACATATCTGTACCAGTGGCTCGGTGCTGCTCCTCTGAAGGAGTTGAGGGTTTTTCCCTCCACATCTTCCAAGTAGATGTTCGCCACAATAGGAGATACCGGTGAGCCCACTGCACAGCCGTGCTTCTGTCTATCGAATCCTCCGTTGAACTGGAAATAGGTGGTGTTTACACAGAGGTCCTGTAATTTACTTATCTGTTCAGGGCTGAGGCTAGTTCTGTTGTTGTCTTGGAGCAGGTGTGTCTTTATGGTTTCTACTGCCTCCATGGTGCGGCTGCAGGGGAACAAGGAATCTGTATTCACTGTTTTTATTTTCTGTTACTGAATGTGGTTTTGTTCAGACTGAAAACAAAGACAAATCTAGTCAACTCAAAGAAACACAGATTCACTAAAGGTGTATGTCTCTGTCATGAAGCATGTTGTTGGTCAAAGCTCATTCTTTTGTCTAATGATGCGTCTGCTTAAACAGTAAGATGAGAGCATTCATTGATTAACTGATTTTATCTGCTCAAAGTGATCACAGGTCAGAAGGGGGAACAAACTGATTTTATTAATCCTCTACATGTCGTTACCTTGTGTACTTTGCTCATCTAATGTGGTGTTATATTTTCCACTAAGGGTACCACTGTTTTGATAAAAGGACCTGTAAGATTGTTTTTGTGATGTTTTCCTGTGAGAAAGGAGTTTCCACCGTGGTTTGAGACTGAGAAAGGCTTCTCTCATTAAATGTCTTATCTGTCAGACTCTCCCTCGGGTGTATGAGCTCTGCCCTTCAGCTGAATCACTCTGTTACTCTTAATAAATATCACAAAGACAAATGTTTGTTTGTAACTTCTTTATTTGTTCATTTCTTCACAAGGAAATGTACAATTTCCACCACAAATCGGTTGGCGTTAACCTCAGACCGCCATGTCTCATATTTTAAAGCGTCTGTCTCAGGTTTACAGGTGCACACGGAGCCGGCATAAGAAGCACAATTAAATTAGTCTTGGTCTTGGCTGGCTCATCCCACCTGTTCAGGTTTGGTCTTCCAGGTTTCAATTCAATTTTCAATTCAATTTTATTTATATAGCGCCAAATCACAACAACAGTTATCTCACAGCGCTTTTCATAAAAGAGCAAGTCTAGACCGTGACTCTATGATATGATTACAGAAGCCCAACAATTCCCACCAAGAGCAGCACTAGGAGACAGAGGCAAGGAAAAACTTCCTTTTAAGAAGCAGAAACCTCGAGCAGAACCATGGCTCAGGGTGGGCGGCCATCTGCCTCGACCGGTTGGGGTGAAGGAGAGAGAGAGGGGAGGGAGGCAGCCTACACAATATCCACACAGAGGTACAGACAGTAAAGGTGATGTTGCTATAGACTAAATGAAAAATGGTACAGATATTTATAGTAGTGTTAATGATAACAATTGTAATGTTAATGATTATAATAACAATAATAACAATAAGACTAGTAACAATAGTTGTAGCAGAGGGTGTCGAGCAGGAACACGGGGGCAGCAGGTGACCCGCAACCACAGATCCAGACTCCACAGCTCCAGAGCCAGAAACACCTGCAGGAAGTGATAGGAGGAGAGAGGAGAGGGACGAGAAAGCACAAGACTACCAGAAAGGGGAGAAGTTGTGTTAGTAACATGCAATAATGGGATGAGGCTGCATACAGAGGAAGACTGAGCCCTAACCTGGGGAAACGCATGAAAACCTTGTGCGCGCAGTAACGGAGAGCTGTGCTGTTAGCGAGGAGTTTTGGATTGTAAATTTCCGGATGGGTGAAGTAGGGTGAAGTCTCTTCCCATTAAGATACACACGAGCCACAGCAATATTAAGTTCATGTTTAAATCTCCCGATACTGCAACAGGACCTGTCAGGATCTAGGAATGTTAATTAATGTTCTGCGTTCTTCTACATCCGAAAGGTCTCGCTCACAGTTCAGGTTCATGCGGAGAAATTGTCTGGATTAAAGCAGCCGTCCTCCTGATCCTGAGCTCAAAGTAAACTCGATTAGTGATGGGGGCGGACTGGGACAAAAATTCAACCCTGGCCCTGTAGCCACGTCAGCCCACCTCATCACGCATCCCCACGAACACACATTCACTACTTAGGCTACATTTGTGTACAGATGGTGAAACAATATAAGCAGTAGGCCGACTGTAACAGCAAGTGTGTCACTTTGTGTTGAAAAGAGGTGGTGACATAAGGTCTGAGAATAGGGGTGTGATTAAAGACTTTGGTCACGAGAACAAGACGAGAAGATATTTTAACACTGTTTTGAAGAAATATTCGATGATGAAATATATGAGTGGGGTCTGAAGATTTTGAGCATTAAACTCTTAATTTCCTGCTTTCTGGAGACATTTTCTGCACCAATTTATGGAGTAAATGTCTTTATTTATATGAATGTCAGCACAAAATTCACGTAGCAGGTGACAATTCAGAATATAACAATAAAATGGAATATAATGCAGTAATCAGTAGCTTTGTTGTTTAAGTAATTTTCTTGGACAATGCACATTTGTTTCTTCTATATTTAAATTGCATAGCATGTTTTATTATTGTGCAAATAATATTCTTGTTCCAAGCTATTTTTCAGAACATATTTAAACAATTTTGCTACATTAAACTCTATATTTTGGTACATGTCCCCAGCGACCCCAGTGTAAATGACACCAATGGTGTCAACCGATTTGTAACATTTCATGTATGTGACTGGCTCAAAATTACACAATCAGTTAAAACAATGGCTGTCCATCTGAGTCAGTTGTTCAGCCTTTGTTCTCTCTGTTTGTCTGCTGTTACTGTATTTCTTTATTGCAGAATCAATTACATCCCAAACATTTTTGTGTGACTGTTTCCTTCCTACCTCTGCCACACTCCCTGTCTCTGCTAGGCCTACAGTAGCATCCTTCCTCTCAGCACTGGTAGCCTACAAGAAGACTTCCAGCAACATCCATGAACACAGTAGCCTACAGAACATTGCAGAAAGATGTTTTCTCACACACTGCGCACAACATTGGATTAAACACACATTAATTAAAAATATTACTCACAAGCCAACTTAATTCTGCTTTCTTTGCCTTCACTTCTAATATTTCCGCACAGAACAGACTCCTCTGCTGCAAACACAGCGGCTTGCCCTACCTCTTTCTTCTCTCTCCCTGTATTTGTCAGCCCTCTTGACTTTCTCTATCAGCAGTGGGCTCTTAAATAAAGTGGACGAAATGACAGCACTCGCAAGATGATTTCCACGGGTGCGCAGAGGAGGCTTTTTAATGAGGAGGCCAATCGAAACCGAAACCAACATTGTACCCAGTTGTACCTGCACCAAAGTGTTCACTGTTACTTTACCTGATCCGTGCTTGTGAAATAACCGCCGTCTGAGTCTTATAGTGTAGTGGATGATCATTTCTCTCTGTGTTTCTCTGCAAAATGCTTAAATGGGTCACCAAATATAGTTCGATTTGTGGGGGAACACTGATATTAATATCAATCTGACCGGCCCACCCCAAAACAAATAGTCCAGCCCCTCTGGCATATGTCAGAATTGCCAGATGGCCAATCCGCCCCTGATTAGTGATGATATTTGTAGGCTACATTTGAGATAAATTTAGCCCGTGTACAAAGCTTACAAAGTGTGTCTGCACTATTTGGTGACCTAAAACTATTCTTCATGATTTGGTACACACGGGTTCATTAGTGTTGGCCCTTTCTGTTACACTGAGATAAGCACAGAAAAAGAAGAGATCTGGACCCAAACTCAGAGGAGGTACAGTTTGTGATGTTTATTAACAAGAAAGAGATCAAACTTAACCAACGGAGAGGCAGGCAGTCTATAAAGCAAACAAATCCGAGACAGGTACAGGCAGTAATTCAAATCCACAGAGAAGGAAAGAAACACAAATAACGGAAGAACACAGGAGACGGCCGGGGACGCTTGATGGGAGATGAAGACCAAAGACCAGGGAACCCACCAAACAATATGTTCACAGGAGAGAGGTGGAAACGGCAAAACACAAGGACGGGAAGTCTGAAACGAGAGGAGAGGTGAGTTACAAAGTGAAACACAGAATGAATAAAGTTCACAAAGAAACATGAGGAAGAATTTAACAAAATAAAACAGGAAGTCACAACACAAACCCACGAGACTTTAGTCTTTAAGGAAAATATTTCAAAGAAGATTTTAAAGAGATTTTTAACCTTTAATGTCTTAAACATTACCTGATTTTATGTATCAGCCTGTTGTAATGTGTAATGAGCTTCATTCTGTCCTCACTCCACTGGTTGTAGCTCTTTGAGTAGAAAACAAAGTAAAACAGGTAAATGTGAACATGTCTGAGCAGAAAGTTGATCATAGCTTGTAATAAAATAAAGTGTCTGTAGGAATAACTCACATATCCTCAGAGCGCAGAAATAAATGATCAACATTTTCTTTCTAACCTGCTTCAGATTCTGATGTCGTCTGTGCAGCAGCACCAAAACAAGCGGTGGAAGCTGATTTACAAAGGTGGAAAACCTCTTTATTGTCTTCTCACTCTCACATTCCTTATTAAATATCATGTTTTCTAATGAACTGCATCACTTGTGGAAAACAAAAGCCCACTCTTTGGCCTCTGAGTCTGTTTGGGGTCAAAAGAAACCTCCAGACTTTCACTCTCAGTCCTTCAGAGTCTAACAGCTTCCAGAGGTTTTGTTGAAGAGTCAGACTGTGTTTGAGCGCCACCTGCTGCTCATTAAGCAGACAGACCAATAAAGATGAAGAATAAAGAGAACAGAGTGCTGCTGTTCCTCCATCTTCTGCTCTTTCCTTCATTGTTTTACTCTCTCTGGATGCTGCTGTGCTCTGACAGGAAATCACTGATGTTTAGTGGCTGAACGAGCAGCTTTGATTTGTTATTGAACTTTCTAATGTGTCTGTTAGCTCACATGTCTTTGACCTTTACACCTCAGCTCATGTGTTGATGTTTCCTCCCTTACTGTCACGTACAGAAGCTGATGTGCTTCCTGCAGTAGTTTGGTTTGTATCTGCTGTAAGCTGCAGTTAATAATTAGATCTGTTCTGGCTCTATTATTACTGAGGGATTCTCTGTTGTTTGACCCTTATGGCCCAAAAAAGGTAAGAATTACCAAAATAAAAGCTCCTGTGGTGAGTCAACATTTTTAAGGTACTGAGATACTTTTTATAGATAAAAATATGATAAGAAGTTATTTCATATCTCATCATTATCACTCAGTAAGTCATAACTTTGATTCTTTTTCAGCATTAAAAATATTAATTATATGAAGTTTCTGTTATTTTAATGACTCATTAATGTAAAAGCAGCATTTTACTGCTGTAGTTGTCTCATCAGACTGCAGCTAATGATTATTTTCATTCTGGATCAATCTGCTGATTATTTCCGTCAATCATCGATTGATTGTTTGGTTTTTAAAGATTCTGTAAATAGTGAGAAATGCCGTTAAATAACACCCTTAAAGTGATACCAACACAGTACTTCATTCGATACCTTGCTTAAAAGGCCACCTGTTGAAGCCATAGAAGTTGATTGGTAGCCTATTACTATTTTTATTGTTGTTATGGACAAGCAAGGGGATCTATTTTATTTTTTTCAAATAACTGTTACACAAAAGTATTGGGAAATTATATCAGATCGCTGCTCATCCTTATTAGGTCACTGGTAGTATTATACAGGGAAAATAAATTTATTTATAGCCTAGTTGAACTAAAGAGGAGAAGTGAAATAGTTTAGTGAGCAAATGAGTTGTGAGAAACGAATCTAAGTTAAAAAAAATTTTAATGTTTGAAAGTAAACTACGGAGAAATATTTTGTTAACTTTTGATCAATAAACTGAATTGAAAGATCTTTCTTTCAACTCTCTTATTGGTGAGTCGCAAACCTCCAAAAAGACGACAGTAAGAAGTAGAAAACGAATAAGGAGTTTAAACAAGTCACTTAACTAGACTGAAGAGTCTAAATAAGCAAACAGAGGAAAAGAGAGTCTGAACGTCCAGCTGATCAAACCATCTACATCTGAAATGGCCACAGCTGCTGCCGGAGGCTTCCTGAGTAAAATCAGCTTTTAATTGATGTGAATGAACGCAGCGATTGATCAGTGAACAGCAAATAAAAATGTGTTAAATGATTCCAGATGATGAAACCAACGAAAAGCCAAGCTTGTGCTGATAAACTTGTGTAACAGTAACATGCCTGAAACCGAAGGCGAGCGGCTGTTAAAATCAGCACTGACTCGGCGCGTGCAGGCTTTTTTTTTAATACAGTTTATGGTGCAATTGGCTGCAAGCAAAACCATATAAATAGTCACTGACACTATTCGTTACCGGGCTAAGGTATCAAGTATAGCAATGCCTACTAAAGCTGTCAGATAAATGTAGTGAAGTAAAAGTACATGATTTCCCTCTGAGATGTGGAGCAGAAGTAGAAAGTAAAGTACAAGTACCTGAGTGTTGTACTTGAGTACAGCAGTGTAGTAAATGCAGCTGTTGTGTTAATGTGAATGTTTTGTGAGGAGCTCTCCAGTTTGTCCTGAGGGACAAACAGACTGACAGTGACAGGAAGCAGCCAGCAGGAGGCAGCAGAGGAGCTTCAGTTTGTTCAACAGATGATAGTTTTCACTTTAAAGTCACTGGAGGAGCAAACTGTGTGCAGAGGGTTTGTGTCCTGTTACCTTTAATAGAAACAACCAGTCCTCCTATAGTGGAAGATCAGCAGCCCAGTAAGGTTGTTGTTATTTCATTAAACGCCAGTTTATTATGGAATAAACAGCATGTGAGCAAAATATCAACTGAAACATTACAGCTGATGAAGCTAAAGAGGAAGAGGTCGACATCAGCATCCTCAAGGACTTCATCACTACATCACTTCACTTATATTTGTTTTAGTGGTTTAAATGAACAAACTGATCACCACAAACTAACTCCCCAAACCCGGCTGCAGCCCTGCAGCTGAAACTAAATAATGTTTTGAAGTTAAATTACTTCATGACTCCATCTGCTGATGAGGAAGATGCTGCTGAAAGCCCTTTAAAAAAGCCATTAAGTGAACCTTTAGTACAGATTAATTTGGATTATTTACAAAGTAAAGACTGAGCCTTCGCGCACATATGAAGACCCCAAAGAAGATCAGCGTGCTGTCGATGGACATCTCTTTAATCACAAACCACAAAAACTTTTATCCTCGTGGACGTTAAAAAGACTGAAGAACTGATGTCACTAAGTCTGAATCCAAGAGGTTTTAAGGGCTCAAAATGCTGTAAACAGGAACGGGACAGCACTTTGCCACATTAACACATTCACCTTCACGACAATGACACATGTTGCACACTTTTTATTTTATGTTTTTGCCTTATTTTTAAGTCCTGCAGGCTCTCGCCCTACAGAGTGGAGGAGAGGTAAATGTCAATATATATGTCAATAATACAGTATTGTTGGTCAAATAGCATCATTAAGCAAAAACTAAAATAAATAGCTGAATAAACTAAGATGTCTATAAAGATTCTCAGTCATCCAGGTCATAGTTATCCAACAAAGGTTAAAATCAAGGGCAACTGGACTTGGTTGAAGATACTGGAAGACGTTTCGTCCCTCATCCAAAGGACTTCTTCAGTTCTGACTGACTGGCAGGGAAACTCAGCTATTTAACCTCAGTGGGGTCGTTATCCCGGGTCATCGATACCGCTGGTTCGTTAGTGTTCCTGGTTGCTGTGACGACAGTCGTTACAGTCGTTAAGACTACCTGTGGCCAAGACTGAACGACCATCGTTGGTATCTTCACCTGATGCCAATAGGTTACGTTTGTTGAGTTTCCTGGGAAGTGATGAAAGGACAGCATTGTAAGTGGGGGATAAGTGGTGGCGTAGACCCCCTCCCCTGTTCAATGACGGCTTCTCAACCCTGGTGTAGATGCTTCCTTGACACCTCTTTCAAACCATCCATGTTCTCTGTCTAAAATGTGCACCTGGTGGTCCTCAAACGAGTGTCCTCTGTCCTTCAGATGTAAGTAGACTGCAGAGTCTTGACCTGAGGAGTTGGCCCTTCTGTGTTGAGCCATGCGTTTGTGTCGTGGTTGTTTAGTCTCCCCAATATACAGGTCTGTGCATTCCTCACTGCATTGGACCGCATACACTAGATTGCTTTTCTTGTGTTTGGGTGTGCGGTCTTTGGGGTGGACCAGCATTACACCAGTCTTAGTGTGTTCTTGGGTTTAAAAAACACAGGGATGTTATGTTTGTTGAAAATCCTCCTGAGTTTCTCTGATACTCCAGACACGTATGGAATCACAATGGAATAAACTAAGTGTGTAATAAGGTGATTGAATTCCTCTGACTTCATGTGTTCTATGCAGCATCTTAAGTTAAGAAAACTTTCAACAATATTAACATCAGCGTAGGTGTTGATTCTTGTTTACTGTTTTCTTCTCTTATAACGCGGATTTGCCGTGATTTTTTCTTTCCTCTCGCTTCCGGGTTTCCCCTGGGGCGAGTTCAGAGCCGACAAAACGTGGCGAGACGGAGGTTCCCTGAACACCCTGTTGTTTACGCAAGCGCACAGCATGTTCCTGCCTTTAGTAACACCTGTAACCAAACAGAAGAAAACATAACTCGAAGCTCGTTGCAAAGAAACATGTCGTTCAATCCGAAAACGTTGTAAAACGTTGCAAAACGTTTTGAGCTTGAACTCGCCCCACCTAAAAAGCCCGTGTTTCACGTCACAACGCTATGAACTGTGGGTAATTGACACACAGTGTTGAGTTCCTGTATCAGCCTGAAGAGCTCCGAGACCAGAATCCAGATTCAGTCCACCAGTCACAGCAGAGACCTGCTGGACAAACTAGAACCAGAACCCGGACCACAGGAGCCAAACAGCAGCCAAACAGCAGCCTCGTGCTCTGATAGCACCGATGTTCAGGTCAGTGTTCATGACTTCCTCACGAGACTAAAGACACGAGGAAGAGTCTCGAGGGTCCGTGTATCATCCGTTCATTCTGTTAGAGATCAGACCCTGTTGACGTGGTTTGATTTCCAAAGTGTCTCCGTGATTCCTGTTTTCATCTTGAAGAGAGGAAGCTGAAATAAAAAACTCACGAGCGTTTCTCTTTTGTTTGTTCCGGGGTCTTCCTGCGGGGCGCATGCGCGGTGCGGCGCGTGTTGTGTCGGGAGCGCGCAGAACAAACGATGATGAAATATAAATATATTTCCTCGTGTGTTGGTGAGTTTATCACCGTGACAAACAGTCTGCCTGTCTGCAGGTTTCAGCTCTGAAGAGTATTTGTGGAGTTCAGAGTCAGTCTGGAGTTTAGTTTTCCTCCACTGGTGCTCAGCTTTTCAACACGTCCTGTTTTTAGCCATGTGTCAAGTTCCTCCACGGTGTATTTCACTTCTTGTCATCACTAGAAAAAGTTCTATAAATGTGCAACGTTTCCTAAGTCAGTCGTGCAAGGGTTGCCACATTCAATACAGAAAAATAAGGGACGTCAGCCGCACCGGGGGCCACACCCCTCGGGGGCCCTCAACCACAGGCCTGATGGTGTGCCAGTGGTGGTATAACATAACTTGAAACACATTTTCAGGAGCGCATTAAGATTGATACCAGCGGACATTATAATAAGTGATCTGCTATTGAAATCAGTGTGAACAGTGTCACAACTCAACAGACATATTGTCTGAATACACAGCTGTGACAATAAAAAAACGTTGGCCAACAATGACGGTAAGACCACAAAAAATAAATAGATATTAATTAGTATTTTATTAACTTATTAAATCAACATGTCCATAACTTATAAACTGGCTAAAACAAATGCGTTGATAAGATTTGACTGGAAACATGAACTTCAGTGGCCATGTGTGCATGTTAGGCCTACTTCCTTTTTATAAATGTTTTCTTGTCAGAAGTACAGCACTGAGTTGCTGTTTGTCTTTCAAACAGCGGCAGTGAAACTTTGAACAGGACTCCTCATGAGCTCCACAGAGCACCTGTTCCTGCTGTCACTTTGTTGGTCATTCTGGAAAACATCCACCATTGTTTCCCTGAGCAAGAGGCCCATTGTTGCTCAAGAGGCCTCTGACATACAGTGAGGCCAGAAAGTATTTAGTCAGCCACTGATTGTGCAAGTTCTCCTACTTAGAAAGATGAGAAGGGGAAAATAAATCCAGGAAATCACATCGTAGGATTTTTAAAGAATTTATTTGTAAATTATGATGGAAAATAAGTATTTGGTCAATAACAAACAAGCAAGATTTCTGTCTCTCACAGAAGCTCTTCTGTCCTCCGCTCGTTACCTGTATTAATGGCACCTGTTTGAACTCGTTATCTGTATAAAAGACACCTGTCCACAGCCTCAAACAGTCAGACTCCAAAGGGACGCCAGGCGTGTCCCCCTGCTTAAGCCAGTACATGTCCAGGCCCCTCTGAAGTTTGCCAGAGAGCAAACACACCGCTCGGGCAACGAAGGAGTGGCTCTGTAAAAAGCATTTCAAGGTCCTGGAGTGGCCTAGCCGGTCTCCAGACCTCAACCCCATAGAAAATTTGTGGAGGGAGTTGAAAGTCCGTGTTGCCCAGCGACAGCCCCAAAACATCACTGCTCTAGAGGAGATCTGCAAGGAGGAAAGGGCCAAAATACCAGCTACAGTTTGTGCAAACCTGCTGAAGACTTACAGGAAACGTTTGACCTCTGTCATTGCCAACAAAGGTTATGTTACAGAGTATTGAGCTGAACTTTTGTTATTGACCAAATACTTATTTTCCACCATAATTTACAAATAAAATCTTTAAAAATCCTACAATGTGATTTCCTGGAGTTTTTTTTTTCTTTCTCATTTTGTCTCTTAGTTGAAATGTACCTATGATGAAAATTACAGACCTCATCTTTCTAAGTAGGAGAACTTGCACAATCAGTGGCTGAAATACTTTTTGACCCCACTGTATGTAGCAATTGTAAGTCACTTTGGATAAGAAGAGTCGGCTAAATGTAATATAATGTAAGAACCACTGGATGCTGCGATGAGGCTGTTGATGGACAGGATGAGAAATTGCTAATGAATTTAAGTAATTGAAAAGGGTGGTGTGAAAATAGATTTTGGCTAAAATATTTGTTGTTGTTTGCAGTAATACCATCCAAACAATGATACCACACATACATAACCTATTTACAGACATAATACATTTAGATTGGTCAGTAAATATATTGTATTTATATTCAACTTGTTGTTAATTCTATAGTATTGACGGATGCAGTTCTATAGATTGGTGAAGCATAACAGTTAAATTCTTCACATAGGCACTATAATTTGATGATTGTGTATTAATTAGCCTATAACTCTCTGATCTCTTATTAAATTAATGCTTATGAGTCTGACTGTATACCTCAACCTTAAAAACAAATCACACCATAATGTAGGGATGTGATTCATTTACATTGGAACAACATTTCTTAACAAATAGGCAGCACATGAAATCCAGCGTGATGAATCAGAAAATTAGTACGTTTTATTAAGTCTCTGCCTCTGCATGCTGTCACACGTCTGACCGGCCTCCGTGCTCCACACAGAACGCTGGCCGACAAACTGCAGTTTAGCTTGATACTCATCAGGAAGGTTATTTGATGTCTGCCACTCTCCTCGTCGTCGGTACCTTTGCGTCCGCTTTTGTTGCAGAGGTGACGCCAAGAGACCCGTCTTACCTGAGTCGGATTGGCCATGAACCTGACTGTATTAATGAAACCAACAACGGCAGCGAGCGAGTATTAACCAGTCGTGGGTAGAAAAGAGTCTTCACAGAATGCAGGTGGGATGATTTGCATGGGATGCTGCATTAAAGACAACACGGAAATACGGGACAAACCGCGTCACGCATTAATTCAAAACGGGACGCGCTATTTAGTTATCAAATACGGGACAATTCCGTATTTTAAGGGATGGTTAAATAATAAGTTAAATAAATTATTATTATTGCCATAATCAAGCAGCCCTAGTTGCCAAATAAGGCAGTGGGTTCAATGATTGACCTGAATATCTTGAGTCAAGTCAGTAATTGGTAGTTTGGTGTTTATTGATCTCTTGATGCCATAAAAAGACCCTTTTTGCTCTCTTTCACAGCCAAGCTCAAAGTTTCTCACCTGTTAAAAAATGGTTTGACACACACATCAGTAGCTTGTCTGGAAAATTATCTCTTTGGTTTTGGGTTGGTTGACTGTCAGGCTCCAGGTTGTCCAGTTTGTGCGACGCTCCACTCAGTATACAGTGTATATACTGTATACAGTGACAGTGTGTTGGAGACTTTTTAATGACCCATCAGCTTCTCGGTTTTCTGAGTTTTATAGTGACTTTAAGCTCATTGTTTATCCGTCGGCTGCATGTTTACTGTTCTGGTTCGCTCTCATAGCGTAGAATAAAAGGAAACGCAGTAAAAAGCTGCAGTCAGGGCTCTTACAGTGTGGAAATGTAAGGAATTAGATTTTCAGCGCCCCCGGGCCCTGCGAACTCTGAAGAAGACAGCGCTCCACGAGAAAACGGCGGGCGCTAGGTTTAGGGTAACCATGGTAACGGCTTTTGTGCGTTACACAGTTGTAGCCTATTTAAGTGACGTGAAAATTATAGGCTGCATAACTTTACCTGATAGGCCTTCATCTAGTTTTGCGGGGAAGTTCCTGTTGATGTCGTGATAACTATTTAGATTCTGGAAATTCAAACGGCGACCATCAGTTTCTCTTTCAATGATTTGTGCTCCGTGTCGCGTCCAAAAAGTTCAAGACCATTCAACTCCGTCGGCAGGTGTGTGTGTGAGGCGAGCACAACCGCAACAGTTTCTCGTGAATGGACCCGCTTGTCGCTGCACCTTGCTGTTTATGTTGCTGCACCTTGCTGTTTATGTTGCTCCCTGATAAAAGAAATATGTTTCTGCTGATACCTGAAAACAGATTTAAATATGTCAACCTGTTGCTCAGAAGGTGCCTGTTATGATCGTGGCTCTCGACTCTAACTTGTTTTAACAAGCCAGATTAAAGGTAATGCCCTGCCAGTGGCAAATAGCTTTGGTTTAATATTAGATTACATTAATGTTTAAGTTGAGATTTACAAGAAATGCCGATATTAAAGTGAAAAAGACCCGATTTATGAGCCGATATTTAGATTTTGAAAATGATTTGGATAGTAGACCCCTTTCCTGTATAAATTACACTTAGAACAGGCTGATATTGAAAGCGGTACTATATGTGGGCTATAAAACCTTTTTCCTACATGGATTATGTTAATAAAATTACAGTCTCAACAACTTCACATGTAAACAATTGCACGTCAATAAATATGTTACTGGAAGGTGCAACTTTTTCAGCCATCTGTAAACAGAGAGTGAGAGAGAATAAGCATGTTTATTTTACCTTACACGTAATCTGCTGTAATAACTACTTCCAATTTAGTGTATTCACATCTAGTTAACGATACAACAAATCCACGGCTCGGTCCAGCAGTGGACTCAGGGCCCCGTTTCAGAAAACGGGTTCAAGAAACCGGAACAGGTGTTTAAAATGAGTTCAGTCAACTCTGCGTACGTTGAGCCTGATGGAAGCGCGTGCGTGGGGATGAAAAAAAGCCTCATCAATGGAGCTCCGATACTACGAGTCACTATGGCAACGGGTAAATAAATAAAGGCAGAGCCTCCATTTTAATCGGATGGAGCGAGAAATATGAATGCTGCCAACGTGGACTATGATGGGCTTTAAAACGCAGGAGTGGAGGAAGGAGTCAATACTTTAACAATATTACATTTTATTCAGCGTTGCTCATTCATCATTTACCAGACTGGAGTTTCCTTAATGAATGAAAAAGTGCTGGGATTCACCTGCAGCCTGTTATTCATTTTAAAAAGCTACAGGCCTGTTTATGCAGCTGGAACCTGACGGGACTAAATGC